TTGCCTTGTTGACACATATATGAACATAAACTTTGATGGGTTTGATGYTATTRTTGCATTTTCTCTTTTCCTTGATGGTAATTGTAATATACTACTTTGGATCATTTAGGCGCTTGATGTTATTGTTGCCTTTTTTATGATCAAACTCTATCAAGTCAAGAACTCAAACTAAATAAAACACCTATCTCAATATCATGGGCTTTGGTAGCGCCTGGGTTTGATTCAAACCCCGGAAGACGAGATATAAAAAATCCTATCAACAATCATTTGTAAGCAAATTGTTGAACCATTTGATTCGTTTCTTATAATTATTAGTTTGTTTCTGGTGAGGTGATCATATTGTGCATTTTTAAAATGGGATGAAGCATATATGTGAATTAGCTTTACTGGTTTTGTTTGGTTTTTTATTAATCTCTATGGATTTCGACTTTTTGTTATTGTAGTTATGTCAATTGGCAGCGAATGATATAGGACAAGTCAATGACATTGGACCTACGGAACATGTCGGAGAACAAGACAATGCCATTGTTGGCACATGAAGGACTAATTGTAGGTTTGGTATATTTAACGGTTACGGGTTTGGTTGCATAAGATAATGGCATTTGGTTTGATGTACTTTGTGTTATTGGTTGTTTTGAGTATGTTCAACTTTTAATGGAAGTTGGCTGGTTTGGCCAAAGTCCATTGGTGATATCTTTTGGTAACTAGAAGCCCACAATAATCCATTTATTTCAATTTGGAAATGCTTAAATTGAGGTTTGCTTTAATCGAGTTTTATGTTATTCATTTACATCCTTATTTTGAGCTTTTAAAATCATATCATTCTCTTTCTGGTAGTTAGCTTAATTTTATAATCGTTTATAATAATTTTACTTCCTGTAACATTATGCGGGTATCATTTTAGCTACTTGTGAAATTATTGTCGGGATCTAATGATTTGCTAATTGAGTTTTGTTTGTGGTTTCTTTGTGATGTTGGACAATTGGACCATTATAGTATTTGATGGAGTTTGTACCGAGTGTTGAATATACATAAGGTACTATAGCACCTGGTAACAATACTAAAAGTAAATTATGATCCTAATTTTCAAGTTCTGATTGAGGTATTTAAGGGCCGTTTAACCAAAAGCTCAAAGTCTAACCATTGATAATTGCTAGCTTTTGTTATATGAGTCTGCTATTTGCATTTTTTCCAAAAAAAAAAAAAAAAAACTTCTCATTTAACGGTTAGCTAATTTATTTCAATGGCAAATGGATGTCAACAAAATGGATTTGACTGATTGGTTGTGAAAATATTGGTAGCTATTGTATTTCACAGACAGTGATCGTTTCCCGTTGCATCGGATGGGTATACAACTAGAAGTTAATAAATCAAACAAAACAATCGATACTTCGAATGAGAATTAAGATTGAATGACAAAACGAACTATTTAAAAATCAAATTAGAAAATCGACACAAGTTGACAAACCAATGAAACAATTCATGTATTATTCGATGAACGTTGAGTTTGAAATTAAATTTTAGTACAACTTTGCAAAGAAATTATATATATACTTATCCCAATAGTTGTTTTCAACTCATAAACATTAATAGACGATCTTATATTGGTGGTCGGTGTTTTAAAGTTTGGATAACTAATTGACTTGAGACAAGTTTTGTTTGTTAACTTGTCGGCTATAAAATATTTTTTTTGCCAAAAATATGTCTGTTTGTTCAAAATAACATATTCATAATTGGTCTTGCTATGACAATCATGTGTTTATCTGTTGTAATCGTCAATCGCTATTCTCACTTACATAAAACTTATGTCTCGCTGCATTGCGCGGGTACACAACTAGTAATATAGAAATAGACTTAGGGGCTGTTTACCAAACTCTTACTCGAGTAAAAGAACACCAAGTTACATTACCTTACCAGATGAATATGACAAGGACCAAAAATCTTACACGTTAAGAGCGAGAGAAAGACCAAGAGTCTTACCCGGTAAGTGAGGACGACGACTCTTACCATGGTAAACGCTTATCAGGTAAATTGTTGCGTACGATGTCATTTTGATGGACTAAAATCTTACCCGCTAAGTAAATGATAGTGTTAAATTTACCGGTAAGCACTTACAGGGTAAGTGTTTGGTAAACGACCCCTTATTCAATAAACTGAAGGAGGAGCTTTATATAAAAAGTCAAGTTTTTCTAAACATGTTCATTCCATCTATGAAAAAACTTTCACAAACAAAAATGTCTAAATTTATACATACAGATTAATCCACACGTACAGCTTTATTTGTAAAAGACGTGTACTTTTGTAAGCATCTCGTATTTGTACTCAACCGATGTCGCAAAAATGCAAAAACCAACGCGTCACAGTAAATACTTTCTCTCCCTCCACACGCAACGACACTTCCTCCCCCCGCTTATCTTATCGGTCCAAACCGCAGTAGATATTATTGGCAATAAATTAACAAAATCAGTCCCTGTACTTTATAGAATTGCAAATTTTTGTCCTTCAATTGTCTTTATATTTCATCAACAGTCCCTCAATAAGAATTTTTTTTAACATTTTCATGTGTCTGCGTCTGTGTTTGACATTGCTAAAGCAGAATCTGTTAAGCATGCATGTGAAGATATACGCCACTTTGAACGGTGTTGTAGTCGTATCATGTATCGTATATAATTATAATGTATGAAGATGTTCAGATGTGCATTTTTAAAAGGGTAAATTGCATAAAAAAAGTAGCATACTTTAACTTGATTCCTATTTTGTTTAATGAACTTTTAAAACTTTTATTTTGATACATAAGATGTAAATTTTTTAAACATTTAAGTACATGGGTAACCGGTTGAAGCATTGACCGGTTACCATGTTGATATGACGAGTGATGTGGTATCCGGTTAATGCTTCAACAAATATGGATTTTAAGGGTAAATGTAGAATTATATAACTTTGCCAACCTGTATAAAATGGTTATTTGGTTCTTAAAACAATAATAATCATTTTGAAAATGACAAATTGCATGAAAATGTAACGTACTTTAACTTTATTCATATTTTGGGTAACATGCTTTTAAAACTTTCATTTTGGTACCTAAGACGTAAAATTTTAAACACTTAAGTATCCGGGTAACCGATTGAAACATTAATTGGTTACAATGTTGATGTGGCAAGTGATGTGGTATTCAACTCAGTATTATTTGTTGAAGTATTAACCGAATACCACATCACTCGGCACATCAACATGGTAACCGGTTACCGGGGTACTTAAATTTTTAAAATTTTACATCTTAAATACCAAAATGGAAGTTCTAAAAGTATGTTACCCAAAATGTGAATCAAGTTAAAGTACGTCATTTTTTCATACAATTTACCCTTTATAAACGATATGAGGAATATTTTGAGCTTTTGATACCAAAAGTGTAAACCCATCAAGCAAGACGTATAATAATGAACATATTATTATCAGATAAATAATAATATAAAAATAAAAATTATAACGAATAAGAGAGGCAATTTTAGGTATGGTGTTCAAAAATCTGACCAATCCAATCAACCCCAATGCGAAATAACTCAATCCGAAGCAACTTGATGTCTAATCGAGTTATAAAATTTTCAAACCGTAGGTGTTGAGTTACTATTATTTGAACTCAATCCAATCCTCAATATCATTTTATTTTTTAGATTTAATATGATTGTTGAATTTCTATTAATATATACATTAGAGTTTAGACAATTACACTATCATGTACGTTTTTCATATATATTCAGTAATTGTGAACATATATATGTAGAATTAAGAAAATAATTGAATGTGATATACGTAAGAAGTATGAGTAAGTTATATCAAATGATTGATGATGAAAAATAAATTATGAGTAGAGAAATAACATATTCAAGGTTAGAAGAATATTTTAATGTACCAAAATATCAACCCAACCAACCCCTATGGTTTCGGTTGGCTTGGGTTGGGTTGCACTTTGGTTTGAGTTTGGTTGGGTTAAGATTTTTCAAACCGCAAACATTGAGTTGGGTTGTTCAATTGTCTTCAACCCGATCAACTCAACCCATGTGCACCCTTAATTTTAGGTTCGACTTATTTTGACCATTAAACATTTTTCTTTGTGAATCTAACTTTATATTGTGTCAACAAATATACAGATACATTTTTTAATTCAAATCTGTTTTTTCTATGAAAGCTTTTTGGATATGACTTATTCCATATAGTAACAGGTAAATAGAAAACCTAAGGTCAAAAGTGAGCTTAGGCTCCAAAGGGTAGTGCTTGATTGGTTTGAGTTTGACTTCCAAAGGTCAAAAGTGATTAGAGATCGCATGTTCAAATCCAAAGAGAAATAGAAATCCTCTTGTGGCCACGGAGGTTCAAATACGATGACTCGATACTTGATAGATTTTTATGTCAAACTGTACATGTTGCTTCTTTACACACATTCTCAACTATAAATTGTTTGATGTTCCTTTTTTTTTTAAATATATAACATTTATATACGACAAATGCAACCAATAAACTCATACATTCTTATCATTTTTGGTGAGGTTTGAACCCCTGACCTTCTAGGAGGCCAAATGCTACGATACCGCTAGGTCAAAGGCCCTTAGGTTGTTTCTTTTATTTTTTGTTCCACAAGCCGAGGGTCTTTTCAAAAATAGCTTCTATAAGTACATCTTACCACCAAACCCTGCCTGTATATGAAATTTACTGGGCTAGTTTGATTGAGTTTAGTTTTTAAAGATGAAAAATGAAATAGTTCAAATATTTTTTGAAATGTGGGACTTAAGATACAAAATGAATAGTGAAGGGACAAAAATGTACTTTAACAATAAATTGAGGGACTAGTATTGTAATTCACTCTATTATTGAATTTCCACCAGACGACGTTTCTAACGACGATCCCCGGTAAACGCATTCCCTTATCTTCTCAAGATTACCGGCTACACCCGGTTTTCCTTTATCTCGTTACCCCTTTATATCGTACTACTATATATAGCCCCGAGAACGCAATTTCAATCATATAACCGGTACCGGAGTTACTACCACACCGTCTCCGATATCTTCATCGGAAACTTTCTCTCTCTACTGTAAGTACATCTGTTCACGTTGATCTGATCATGATTTAGTTAATTAGTCAGCTTTTCATTGATTGATGATACTTTCTCGAACTTTAGTTATGATCGTATCGTTTCAAACATGTGTAAGTTTGTGATTCGATCTAGGTTTTTTTTTTCTCTTTGTATGAAATTTGTTTTTAGAGAGAGGAAGTGCCAGGAGTTGTGATTTTTATTTGATTCGTCAGGTTAAATGATTGAATTTGTTCATTCTCCGAAGAGGAATTCGTATTTATGTATTGATTTGACCTATCGTTGTTTCTGTTCTATGAGAAAAATAATTGGTGTTCATTTTGACGGTTCATCTTTGGTAGAACTTTGTTGTTGTATTTTTTGGTTGTTGTGAATGATGAGACGATTGAAATATGATCGACTTGATATTTGATGATTGTACCTAACAATGATAGAGATGATCGCCACTCGACATAGTGCCCTGTCTCCAATCATAAGTTGGTGTCATGTGAGCTGACAATAGGATGTGGACCTTGACCTAATAATGTTACGGATTATCACAGCACAACTTTAAATGAAATGATGTCCTGATTCCCATTTAGGTATTAGGATGTGCAAAGTCATTTTCCCCAAGCCCTAAGGTCCTGTTTTATCCCTCAAATGTTGCAAAGAAAATGTGAAAAGGATTATTTCCAACTTCTTGTAATCCAATTATTAATCCAATTGCAAAGCGTGTGCAGTTTTGTTCATTAGTGTTTCAATTAGCGGGTGCTTAGCAAAACAGATAGATTCAACCATTACCCCAAGACTTGAGTGTTATTATGTGCAAATTTAGGTGCGGTTTGATGGAAATCTTGTAACTGATGATACTATAAGCAACACTGTTGATTTGTGCAACAACTTACCATTGGGGCCAGGGCGCCATCACATGTCGAGGCCGGGTGGTGATCATTTTTACATTGTTAGGCATATATTAATTATCAGGTCAATCATTTGTCTATTGTCTCATCATTCACAACGACGACAAGTTCTACTGAAGATAACAGTCAAATGAATAGCAATCAGGCTAGAGATAGCTCACAATTTATAGAGATGTGTTTTCGGCCTTACTTGCTTTGTGTGTGTTTTGTCTACCTTACCTTTACCATGCTTCGTTCACCGCATGTTAATATTTAGGCCTTCCACTTGCTTGCTCACGTTAATGCACAAACCAAAGGGGTCTTCACAGAAACATCTGTTCTGCTCTTTTTGGGTAGAGGTCAATCTGTGTACATCTCACCCTCCTCTGACCCTACTTTCCAGTAATTTACTGGGTCGGTTTGGTTTGGTTTGGTTGTGTTACTTTATTTATTAATTATTGATTTGTGATTGATGAAGAAAGTGGTTTGGTTAAATCCCGTTTGGATTGTTTCATTATTTTCACTAACTTGAAATATTGGATATACAATTTCAGGATATTATTCTCGGGTAGATGGCAGATAAAGAAGGGGAGGAAACTGTCCCTCGAGGAGCTGACTGGGAGGTTGTATCGCTAACAGCATCAACTTATGCTGCTGCTCCTGGTCCAGATATGGGAGAAAAGCCTAAAGGTGGCGAAAAGGGTGATGTAGTTGACACAAATAAAAGTGAAACTTCGAATGCCTTGTTCATGTCCGGTCATTTTGTCTTCCCGCCAAGTCAGCATGAGAATTTACCCCTAGAACCTGAAAATACAGAGATCCTTGACGAGCAGGGAGGAGAAGGTGAAGTTTCAGAGTCTATTAAGGAGGAAGGGGAAAAATCAAATGATAAGGATGAAGATAATTGGAATATTGGGAAATTAACAGAGTCGGATGATTTTCCTGCAATTCCATTTTTTGATGAGAAAGGCAACAGATTGAGCATTAGCGATACGGACTTTGCAGATAGAACAACTTTGGCAGGAAAAGAACAGAGCATTTATGATTCTGCTAAGTTGCATTCATTTCAGAATCAACCAATTATGGGCGAGGCTATCATAGATGATGAAGAATCTTCTGACTCAACCTTGAGTTCAGATGTTTCAAACTTCCCCAAACATACGGAGGAGGATAACTATAATGGATCTGGCCTTCCGTATGCAGCATGGTGGAAGAAACAAGCTGCTTCTTTGTATGCTCATGCAAAAGAAGCCAATACGTTTTGGTCGATTTTTATTGCTGCTGCAGTGATGGGCTTTGTGATTCTTGGCCAGCAATTTCAACAAGAAAGATGGCAAGTTTTGCATCATAAGTGGCATTCTGGGGTGTATGATGAGGTATGCAATTACATTCATTCTATTATCATGTGAAAATCTGATCTTCTTAGTTTGATTCTCATCATCCTGAAGAAATTTGATATATGTATATCTGTCGATATCCTTGCTCTTTTTTGCCGTATAGATATGTGGTTGGCACAACAATTCTAACACTCCCTTTGTGAAGAATACAAGTAATGCATACATGATATTTATGATTGATGAAACTGGTTTTCATGTCAAATTATAACCAAATGGTCCTGAAGGTACCCAACAAAAATCCTATTTGGAAGTAGCGTCAGGGGTAAGATGCATGCAAATTATACCTCCATCCCTAAGAGCTGGCTTGTAGAGACCATGAGACATAGGAAAGAAAACAACAAGGACATTGTGTTCAAACGCTCAACAAGAACGGTAAAAATAAGTAATAAGAGCAACAAAAGGTAACAACATCCATCAACAGTAACAGTAGTAAGGCCTACCACCTATGTGATTAAATCATATAAATCCAGTTAGCTTAAGCATATAAGATTGAGGGTAAATTTATGAATACCACCAAGCCACATGAAGGAAGTACTAGGGCCTATGTGGCATCTTATCTGCCAGATCTCTACCCCTCAGTCCCTCCCCCTATACAGTAGCTACTAGTCCCGACAAAAATTTGCTATCTGAATCTTGCATCTCCAAGGACTCCTATCAGAAGCCATGCCCTCGTTAAGGTCTATGCTTTCTATGTCTAGCCTCAACTGCTCGTCCTTCATCCTTCTCGGACTGCTCCTCATTCTCACCCCATCAATTGTTATGCTCTCCACCCTCCTCGTCGGTTGATCATCTTTCACCTCCTAACATGACCAAACTTCCATAGCCTTCTAATCATTTAGTTTATCTAGTGGTAGGTGCAACTCCTAGCTCTGCCCTGAAAACTTTGTTCAGTGTCCAGTTCCACATGTTCAGTGAACAACAATCTCAACATCCTCAGCTCTGCAACTCCCAACTTTCTCTCACTCAACTTCTTTATCGGACAACAATTAGACCTACACAGTAGGGTAGGGTTAGTATGATGACTACCATGTAAAATTTGCCTTCACCTTTAATGGGATCTTCTTATCAATATCATATAGCACTGCCACTTTAACCACCCTGCCTTTATGCGGTGTGTAACATCGTCCTCGCCATCTCCCTCCTTGGAGCCTGAATATCTTATAGGTGAGAATATTGATACGCCATAATCTTTAGATGCATAAGAGCCTTAAAAAATTGAGGGTTTTCCCCATAACTAAACCCTATACGTAGTAGTTGTTAGTGCTTGTTTGCAAACAAACTCTTTGGAGTTTTATCAACAATTCGAAAAACCCTTGAGCATCATTCCTGCAAGGAAGCGATTCAGGTAATTGATGGTGACCAATAACTGAACATAATACAATTTTGATTCCATTATTTAGATGTGTGAAATGGGATAAACCATGTAACCTCATTAAGAAGTTGCAGCACTTGGGTAGATGCAACATAAACTTACAACGGAAAGGGTGTAGAATGTACTGGTACATTTACAGTTGTTGATACTATATTAAAAAGGTATAAAACGTGATTTATATGTGGATACAAAAATTTTATAAATCCTTACCTGAATTCGGGGATGCCCCTCATCCTGCATCATATATGTAGTCTGGGAAATTGTGTGCAGTGAGCTAGCTGCAATGAATCTCAACTTTTCACCATCTCTTGCCTCCAATGACTCCTGGCATGTTCATCCCAGTCAGAAACATATAAACCAAATCAAACGAGCCCAACTTATCCCACTCGAAAGTAGGGTATGGGAGGGGTAGGATGTACCCGGACCTTACCTCAACCACGAGGAGGGAGAGGCTGTTTCCTTAAAGACCTAGAGCTTGTACACAACACAAGGCAATAAGACAGGTATATAACAGGTAATCAGGAAATATAACAGGTAGAATAGCAATTCAATTTTGTGTGCATGATTCCTTAGTCAGAAACATATGTTTCTGCAAAATTTGTTATCAAATTAACCCAACTCCCTCCGAACTGCTTATTTCTCTTTCTGGGTCTTCCTATATTAGTTTAGCCTTGATACATCAAAACATATTGGTTCGAATTCTTTCATATTTCCTTTAATAATGAGGTTCTTTAAAAGAGAGTGAACTCGTATACTGAACGAATCATGCTTCATCATATTCTTATAAAATAAATCATATCATCAGCACATTATCCCATGTCCCAGCCAAAACCGAGTTGATATGTCTGCTTGTGCAATACAAGTAATACCATATGTCTGCATATCTGAAGGCTCTACTTCATAAGTTTGACTGCCTGTGCAATATAAGTAATGTTCTTGGAGGTACTTGTTATGCGCTACTGCTGAGTTGCCCATGAAATTTTTTGACCACTTCCCTATAGGAGATGTGATACCTGTTTTTTAGGAGTTGCGACTGGTGAATCCGTTTCTATTTGTCAATGACAAGTCATTGTTTCTGTATGATTGCCATGTGACAGTTACACTGTGTTCTCGAGTCCTTTTTTATGAAGAAAGGAGAGGGAGAGGAAGGAGGGGGGAAAGAGAAAATATCATGTTCTCGAGTTCTTTTATGGGGGAGGGAAAAGGAAGGAAAATAAGGCTGATTTTCCTTGCAAAACTTGGAAGGAAAGGAATAAAGCAATTTAAAATATTTATAAAATTACACATCTATCCATCAAATAAAACCTGCTGGAAACTAAATAAGGGTATTTTTGTAAAAAAACATCTTTTCTTTCCTTTCTCTCCCGCTCAAGAACATGAAAAATTATTTCCGTTCCTTCCAAAAATTATTTCCTTCTCTTTTCCATCCCTTTCTTTTCTTCTCTTCTCAAATTCGAGAACACAGCGTTAAAATTGGTTTTGGGCAGCATGATCTATAATCTTAGTGAAAGTCTCGACATCTTTATTTTGAAACGGCTTAGAGTCAACCACGAGAAGAGCCAGGATGTAGAATCAGGGAGAGGACCGAGGAAATAGAAAGCGGAAAAGAGACGAGTATAATCACAAGAGGAAAATCTAAGACTAGTGTAAAGCTAACAGGTCCTGCAAGTAGAAACAAAAGTGGACATGAAATGTAGGAGAAGCCAAGACAACACTCTATCGGGCGTAATTGCCACCACGCTACCCCTCTCCGTGTCTCACCATCGAACTACTCCAAACTCCCCTCCGACCATCCAGGCTACAGATCCCTACCCATAATCTGCTACCAGAGTCCTGTATCTCCAAGAGCTCCTATCAGAAATCAAGTCTTCACCTACAGGGTGGGGACGGGGGTTTATTTTCATACTCGAAGCGGGGTTGGGGGGGGGTCGAGGATGACATTACCCCGCCCGGTCGCCCCTAATACGACCCTGATTTAATTCTTTATTTTATTTAATATATGTATATAGCGTGTGTGTGTATATATATACACATTTATCATCAAATGTCAAATATATTTGATTTCTAATATTGGTAATTAATGTAGTGATGATTTATTATAATTTTAATTTTAGAATATGTTTTTTTTATTATTTTACTAAATGGGTACCTAATGGGTTGCCCGAACCCGTTGGGGATTCCTTTCCCGGGCGGACCTACATTCATTGATACGGTGGCACGGCCCAGCTCTTCATGGTTCCGTAGTAAGGGAAAAAAGTACGTTTTTCAAGGGTGCCACCGTATTGTATTGTTGGGTGCCACCATATAGTTTTTGAAATTGAAATTTAACACAAGACTTTGACGGCAGAGATGGTCAATGCTACTACCTTCATACATAAGGCCTGGGTTCGAGTCTTATTGGTGTCAAATTTGTTAATTTTTAGCTTAAATTTTGGTGTCCTTTTTTATATACAAATCGCGTTTTATAAAAGATATGTAGGCAAAACTTGAACATGGGTCTCTTCTGTGGTTGGACATGGAACCAACCAACAGATCTATACTAATATTGTGAAAAATTTCTTTAGATATTTTTTACAGTTAAATGTGTCACCACTAATTTTTTTTTTTTTGGGGTCCTCCCCTGTTAGTCAGGGACAGGGGATGCATTACCGCCCGGTTTCCATCCCTAGCCTGCAAAATCGGGGAATCCCCTCCCCTACGGGTAAAATTTCCATCTCTAGTCCTCTGAAATGTGTGATGTTGTATGTCCATTTTCGACTGTTCATCCCACGTCCTCTTCACCCCCTCAACCGTCATACTCTCTATCCTCCTCACCAATGTCGTATTAGCACAACGTGTTTAAGTGAAAATGGTAATACTTTTTGTCATCTATGTTTGGTATTTGTAATTACGCATGTAAGTGGGAATAATACCAAAATCCTGGCATACAAGAGAACTTCATAGCTTAGCCTAGGACTCGGTGTCATTTCAGTAACATATATCTTTAATACTTCTATCCTTTTCTCGTATTTACGTTCTTTTTTAAAATTTGACATGAAATACATTATGATTTTGCATTAAAAATACCGTGTTCAAAGGTTTATAAAATTACGTATTATTTATTGTTTGGCAGAAATTTGGGAGGTTGGTGAGCCCTTTATCCCGATTCAAAGATGCGATCGTAGGTGGCAACCGACGAGGGTTCAGCATTAGAGGCAGCACCTCGGGGGATCGTTAGGGAGGTGGTGATGGTGGCGGCGATGATGACGAAAATAGAATGTGGCTTTTGTGGATATCAGCAGCGGTAGCAGTAGCAGTAGCAGCTTGTGTTAACTTTGACCTATTTATAGAAAGAAAAACAAAACCAAAGAAACTGCTGCTTGCTCTGCTTGTTTATGTCGTATTTTTAATGCTTTTCTGGGTCCTCTCTTGTTTTTTTTTTCAATGTGTAAAGATTTGATAAACATTATAATTTGTTTGTTTGCTTGGTTGGTTGGTCATCAATTCGATAATAAGTACATAATATAATATTTATATACAGAAAATGTTTATGAATACTTTCTTACATACTTTTATTTAAATTTTTATTTCAAGTTAGAATTCAGGAAATGAAAATTCATTCCTATTTCTATTTCCAGTTCCTTTGATTTTTATTCTCGTTTTTGTTCTCCTGTTTGAACCACACAATTTGTTGTTTTTACGTATTTTTCGATGTGTAAAATGGTTAAGCATTTGTGTGCGTTTTTGATGGAGCACCTTTTGATCATAGAATGACATCGGTGATTACAAACTGTAAACCGAAATGCTCATTTTCAAAATTCAAATCTGTCTTTTCCAAATTCGAAAAATGACATTGGTGATTACAAAATTGAAATTTCTAACATACTACAGTGAATAAATTGTAGTTTACTCTAAAATGTGTGCGAGTAAACATACGAGATCTTGATCTGTTCAATGACTTCACTTGTGAACAGGAACCCATTTTGTTGACTGTTTTTTTGCACAGCTCTAATACTGTCTTATCTCACTCAAAAGTAAGATGTGAAGGTAAAAATATACAGACTTTTACTCTATCTCAAGAAACAGATATCAAAAGGATTGTTTTCAAGAAAACCTCAGCTTGAATATTGACATCAAATTACATAAATCCAAAAGAAGCCAACAATTCGTATTTACTAATTACTAGTAATAGAACACGAAACATCCATTTAGCACATAGACTACAGTTCTTATTTGGGTTGTTTGATGGTTGAACAAATATTTGGCCCAAAAGCAATATCACTACTACCAAGTACCAAGTACCAAGTAAATAAATATCTAACTGCCCTTACCACATACATAATATATAGAGAGATACAAAAGGTTTAAACAAGAAAAGTAAAAAAGGTTACAAGACGTGCAAATAAATGATTCATATGTGAATTATTGGTAAAATAAAACGTGAGTTTACATATGCATCTTCATATGTGAATAATTGGTAAAATTGTTGGTAAAAAGACTTGGATTCACGTAAGAATCTTCAAATTGGGTTTTTCAAGTTTACCAATCATTCATATATACATCTTTATATGTGAATGGTTGGTAAAAAATATAGGATAAGAACGTAGATTCACACAAAAATCTTCAAATGATTTTTCTAGATTTACCAATAATTCACATATAAATTATTTATTCACACGTTCTCGATCTTTTACCTTTCTCGTTTAAACCTTCCTCTCTATATATATTCACTTCTTGCCATACATCGACTCCACTTTCCCATCATTTCCTCCAAGCAACTGATACTTATCTTTCCTTGTCAAATTGGTGCATTCAAATCCTAACACTGCACCAAGAACCTTCTGCACATGGTTCGCCACCTCGATCGACGACCGTCCACCGCCTTTCACCGTCATCTCCTCCGGCAACCGTTCCAAAAACGTCACTTCGTAAGTCGGCCTCGGGTTCATGAAATAGAAATACGGGTCCCAGAATTTGACCCCGCGAACCGTTGTGCCGTGGAACATGTTCTGCTTAAGGTTCACGGCCACGGGCACGATCCGGTCACTTAGTTCCGCAAACAAGGCACTGAACCGTAACAAGAACGGTTCACGACACGTGGTTCCTTCTGGGCAGACCACGAGATCGCCTTTTTGAAGCAACGCCTTGATCCGGGCAGCATCCGCTTCACGGTCACGGGTTAGGGCAATGGCAGGGATCGGTGAAAGGAACCGTGAGAGTTTGCTGACGCTGTATGTCACGCAAAACGGTTTGCGGCCAAGAGCGATGGCGATGATGATGGGGTCTAGGGCGGTGCGGTGGTTGCAGACGTAGAGGTTTCCAGGGGTCCCAGGTGATGGTGGTGGAGGCGGGTTTCCACGGATCACGAGCTTGATCCCGAGCATGCCGTAGGTGTATCTGACAATTCGTTCAGGGAGTGGGAGATTGAAATAAACGCGGAGAAGGGATAGGATGAATCCAAATGGCAACCAAATGTAGGTGATCAAAGCGTTGATCGGTGTTGGGGGGTGGACTAGGCGGCCGTCGTGGAATATCAGTCGGGTTTTTAGCCGGTCCGGTGAAACTATGGCTGCCGATTCGTCTTTTGGGACCATGTACCCCTCCTGTATTGTCAATAGTGATACCATAAGGACCAAATGGATCATGAAACATAAACAAAAGGTTGTTAAAATACTAGCTTTTTGAAAATTCATTCAAATTGCATTTTAATAAGCTATATCAGTTATTTTTTTCGGATTTTTTTTAATTATGCATCTTTTTTATTCTCAACATGTCTTTTTTAGATGATTTTACATTATAATTTATGTTGTGAGATAGTTTTTCCAAACATGACTAATTTATCAGTTAGTTTATTAATCAATTAACGGTTAGCTCATTATCTAATCTAACAAACATAACCTAAATGTACCTCTTTTCCTTTTAGAGTGAATTACACCGGTGGTTCTCGTGGTTTACTCAAATTTTTTATTTGATCCCTAAAATAAACTATCTACAATGATGTTCATAACTTTTCAATTTCATAAACTCTCTAAAGTTAACGCCATCATTTACCAACCGTTAAGATGAACAAATCAGTCTTCAAAAAAAACTACATGGGCCATAAATGTAACTCACTCTAAAATTAATTGTGATTCATATTTTTCAAAAACTCTATTAACATATTTGAAGTACATTAACATGGAGGAGTTATATACTATAATTTGTTCATTAGACCAAATATTTTTTGTTAGAAAAAATAATTATGTTTTAAAAATTAAAATATTATAAGGTATTATTAAATTGAATTATCAAACAATTGTGAATAAACTATAAAAAATTTAATTGATATAATAATTAAAGGATATTTTTTTGTTAACTATGCTTAAAATATTTTTGATGAAAAATATTAAAACAATAATACGTGAATTACAATTAATTTTAGAGTGAATTACACTTTTGGTCTATGTAGTTTGTCCAAAGACTGATTTTGTCCCTCTTAATGGTTGTTAACTGACGATATTAACTTCCTTGACCTTTGAGTGTTATGAAATTGAAAAGTCAAGGACCATTAATATAGATAATTTACTTAAGAGACCAAATCCAAAATTTGAGCAAACCACTAAAACCAATGTAATTTACTCTATAATTTATTTGAACCCCATCATGTACATTTTCTTTCACACATTAATATCATATTTCCTATTTTAAATAAGAGTTTGGTTCTGATGAAAATGAAAATTATGATGAAAATGGTAATAAGAGGTCTTTAGCCTTAGATCAATCTTAATTGAAGGAGAACCACTAGATGAATACTAATTAATGAGATATACCATATCACTCCCCTTCTAAAATACAATTCATGAATTAATTTAGGATTAAAAATAAAAAAAAATGTAATTTATTCTTATACTTCTCACCTAAGACGAACACTTCTTTAAATAATCACACTGTGTATAAAAAATTTGGCTAACAAAAGTCAACATCAAGCTGTCTCTCTCGATCTTAAATTTGGGCCAGCTAACATAATAAATAACCCTGTAAGAGATAGGCCCTAATTCAAGTGAATTACTACTTGGTTTCTGGCTTCTGCTAACAGATGGGATTTGAGTGGGGCCCATATCTATCAAGAAAAATTAAAGGAGTCATCTTAGATCTATCTTTTTCACTCGTTAATTTATGAGTGTGCACAACTTCACATTGTTTCTGCTTACCAACCACAACACTAAATATATTCATTCAAATTAATGTATGTAGTTTGGATAACACATAATAAATATGTCACTATCATTATGCACCGAAAATATAGATATCTAGATAAGTACCAAGAAGTCAATAACTTTACCTAGCAAAAATAGACATCATAATAACTCCTTTTTGGTTCTTCAATCAATTTCCCATGTGATTTCAGTCTCCAAAGTGATATCGGTCTAATCATTTTGATACCGTATGATAAATGTATGAAACCTTATTTTCTTTGTTCTGTAAAAGAATCTTTAGAGGAAAAAATAGAAATTCTATGGATATAAAGATGAAACGATTCAAGATTTAACAGACGTGAGATTATGATTACAAGAAATTTAAGGGCTCGTATATTTGACCCATCTAACCTATTCTTTCATTTTATTTTTATTATTTTCTTATATTAATCTTCGTTGGCTATTTCGTTAATATATCAAATATATTTTGATATTTTGGTGAATATCCCTTTCTTATATTAATCTTCAGTGGGCATGGGAAATAGGGCTTTGGATTAGAAGGTGTATAGTTGTAGGGCTGCACAGAAGATTAAAAGCATAAAAATGAAAAATGGAAGAAAAACACAAGTTGGAATGAATCAACATAGAAGTGTGGGGGAATTTTCAGTGAGAGACTGGGTTTTCTTCTGAAATTTACAGAACTTGTTACAGAAAAATAAATAGACTAAATGATTCTATCTTGATGATCAGCCAAATAAATAAAGGATAATGGGAGCAGTTTGACCATTAATAATACTAAAGACCCTTTCGTGTCTTCTGGTATACTTCAGTTACCATCAACTGTACTAATTTTTATTTGCATGATATAAAAAAAGATATTCAGGATGGTGTTTTATTTGACTAATCTATTATTTATATTAAAGTATGGATGTACTGAAAAGTTTGGGGTTAGTTCATGAAAATGCAGTAATTGGAAGACTATAAAGCAAGTGCTAAAACAGTTGATATTTAATGTGAATTCAATCACAAGCTGATAATGGTGGTTTTTTGGTTGTATTTTGATAAAAACTTATTATGGATTAATCTGTCTTTATAAATAGTAAGGATTTTTATTTGGTAGAGAATTTTCATAAATGGAATGAATGTGTTTTTAATAGGCGAGCACGTTTGGAAAATTTTGGCTTTCTGTGTAAAGATCTACTAGAAGCTTACCGAATAAGCCACTTTCTATATCATTAAACCACTAGTCATTTATTGCTGATCGAATAAGCTATAAGTCTCGTTAAGTTCGTGAAGTTGTTAACAAAGAGACCCTCATTACTATATTAGGCTAAAATCTCCAAATTTCAGGAAGGTATGTCTAAGGTATTTACAGTAAAGTATTATTATACTGCTGCTAGGCTACACGGAAACAAGTTTGATCTACAAAATACCAGTAGAATTTTATTTTGATCCTTTTTATGAGCTCCCAGTCATGTTCTTATTCTTTAGTTACTAACAAAACCATCACAAAGAACATGACAAATTCCCCCATTTTTTAACTTCAAATTGGTGAGAAGTTGAGTACTTTAACCAAATCCAGATTTCGCTATGACTTGACTTGCCCAACAACTTTCTGTCAAATGTATTGAGCAAGACAAACGATAACACATGTGCACGTTAAGAGTAGATCATGCACGGGAGCTTTTCTTCTATACCAAAATGTGTTATCTAAGTACGCAATTTAGAGGTATTTGAAGAAATCCAAAAATAATAGTACGGTCATGTCTTCTTAACCCTAGCATTGTCTTCGATATTTTGAAATCCAATACCACAATTCAAATCAAGTTCAATGAGAACCGCATTTTATGCTGTTGAGGCTGTCAATTAATCGCAAAAATAGTGTACTGTTTGCCATCTATAAGCGTTTATCAAAGAAGAAAAACAAAGCAAACTGTAACTGCACATATATATTTGCCAGAAATTGAGTTGAAATTCGACTAACCTTGCAAACGGACAAGAAATCGTGATCTGATTTCCGATCACCAAGTCCAATATCAGGCGATTCATCACCAAATTCCTTCAAAATAGCCAACTTCTTCCATTTCCCAACCAAAACACCAGGCTCCACAACGAATCCCGTAGCTTTCTTCGTCTTCGGATTTACCTCGATCTCCGTTCCAAGGACCTTTTCCCCTCCCAAATAATCCTTCACAAAAGCATCCACCATAACCGTCGGATTCGCCGTCACTACAACCTTCCTCTGACACCTATCAAACACCTCAAAACTATCGCTCCTTACATCCGCCGCGTAGAACCGCGGCAAGACGGCGCGTGACGCAAGCTCGATATCGCGGACCTTGAGACCGGAAAACGAGATGAAAATCAACATCTTGATAGCTACAGCTTCGGAGACGAATATATACGCGATTGCAATGATCGGAAAACACAGTAACAGAACAAGGCCGCGAAGGAGGCTTCCTGCCTCAATTGCAACGAGCATATAGTACGGAAACGCTGAGCTCGCCTTCAGTAGAGTTCCATCGAGGTCCGCCGCTACTGATCGGTGGCTGATGGTGGAGAACTCACATTTCGAGATCGGCGGGAAGGCTTTGTCGCCAAATTCCGGCGTCGGCAACGACATTTTGTCCCCTTCAGAAAAGTCTGTACGCTGGTAACTGACTGAAGTTGGAGAGGGAAGGTTGAGGTTTTAAATGTGGTGGGATAAATGCTTAATGACGAATATACCCCTAGAATTAGTTGACGAAATTACCCTTTACGTAGTTGAGAGGTTTAAATGCATATACAAGAAAGTGGACCAAGTTGGTGTTCATATTTTATTTATTTAATACATTTTTATCATTAAAAAATAATATTCAAAATAATTATGGGCACATTTCATTAGAAAAAAAAAACATAATTTAACTTGATTCTTATTTTGGGTAATATATTTTTAAAACTTTTATTTTGATACTTAAAATATAAAGTTTTATACATTTAAGTATCCGAATAATCGGTTGAAACATTAACCGGTTATCATGCTGATGCAACAAATGATGTGGTATACAACTCAGTATTATTTATTGGCATGAATATTTTAATCTAAAATTAGTTTTTATGTATTGTGGTTTATTAGAAGAAAGAGTTAATGCTTCAACCGGTTAATCGGGTACTTAAATGTTTAAAACTTTACATCTTGGGTATCAAAATGGAAGTTTTGAAAATGCGTTCTTAAAAATATGTATCAAGTTAAAATACATTATTTTTTCATGCAATTTGCCGTAAAATCATTTTAATTTTCGATGTTTAAAACTTTACATCTTAGGTACAAAAATAAGAGTTTTGATAACACGTTACTCAAAATATGTATCAAGTTAAAAATACGTTATTTTTTCATGCAATTTACCATAAAATCTTTTAATTTTTGAAAATTACTATAAATAATTGATGTTTTAAAAAACATTGTACAAATTGTTCAATTACATCTTATTTTACATCATGATTTTCAAATAATCATATATTAAAAAAATTAATAATAATTTTAATCATTAAATAAAAAATAAATAAATTTCATTGTAAAAGATGTTGGCAAGGTATTTAGGGGTTATTTACCAAACACTTACCCGATGTTAAAATTCAACATTATTATTTACTTATCGGATAAGATTTTAGTCCATCAAAATGACATTGTATGCAACAATTATCCGGTAAGTGCTTACCGTGGTAAGAGTCGTCGCCCTCACTTACCGGGTAAGACTCCTGGTTCTTATCTCACTCTTACCGGGTAAAAATCTTGGTCATTACTTTATTCATTCAGTGGGGTAATGTTACTTGGTAAGCCCTTATCCAGATAAGCGTTTGGTAAACGACCCATTAGTCTTTCGTTAGAACTCGTCCTTAATTGGTTATGACTAGGAAATGGGGGATTGTTTCAAGTACAGAACTATGTGGTGCATATGGTGGCACATGCCACCGTATTATTCCTTCCTCAAAGAATAAAAAATTTATGTTCGTGAAAATTGCAACCGTATTAATTTGTTGTGTGCCACCTTATGTATTTTGAAACTACAATAAGAATAAGTTTTATTTGGTATAGTCGGTTTGCAAAGTTTTTATTCCACCTCAGACCCAAGTTCGAATCATGTTATTAGTGTCATTTTCTTAGTTAGATGGTGTCACCGTTTGAATTTTTTTTAAATATATTTGTTTCTTATAGTCAAACGGTGCCACCATTTTGAAAATTTTTCCCTATGTTTATTTTTCTTATAATCAAATGATGCCACCGTTTTGAAAAATTCATGGGTCCGTCCCTGGATTATTTTAGTCCTAAGTGATTCGATGTGACATATACCTTGTCTTTAAATATCTGATATATCTGTAGACCATCTTCATGATAAAAGCCACGACCCACTTAGCTGTAACTGATTCTATTTCACAAAGACTTGCCATGGTAAGGAAGAAACAGACACACTTGAAGAGCGCAGTACAACGGAGAGTTGTATACTGCGTTCGAGAAGTATGAATCGCTGCTAAATCCACATTAATTAACATATGATTTTTTAACATATAGTGTTAAATATTAGAAATCTTTTATATTATGATTCCTTGAAAATACCTATCATGAAAATCATGAGGGTCATGAAGACAACATGGAGGAGTAACTTGTGCTTAGATCTAGGGTGTTTTATGAAGTTAACCAACCAAAAATTTTAATTTACAAAAACAACCTTAAAGTTGAATTTTTACAACATTTAACCCCATATTTTGCACTAAGAATCCAATGCGTAGGGGGACAAAAATGCAAATATTTTTTTTGATTTGATGACCGATTCGACCGGCGGCGGCTGAACCTTACACATCGGCCGGTGCACGGTGCGTAAGGGGCCCACCCGGTATGGTCCCCACCCCACCAGGGGCGGATGGGCAAGGGGCCTTGGCCCCTGGGCTTTTTTTCCCGATAAAGTAAAACATCTACAGTCCATCTCTGCACCCCACACTTTGACTGCTAACTTTTTTTGTGTTTTTTTTCCCGTTCATACCACTATTTATATATATCAGATTTGTACAAAACATCACATATAAATTCTAATCCAATTTTTACATACAATAATTTATCATCTCCAAACTTTCAAGAATCAATGTCTGTCATTGAAAAAGTTACAGTACGTGTTTTTGTGCAGGTTCATGGCAGTTAGTCAATGACGTGATAGATTATATTTCAAAAACACAAAAAAGTTTGTGTTGTTGCTGATACATGTAACTTTTTTCAAGTTTGATCAATTATTTAGCTAGAAAATTAAACTTACCTGATTTACAAAATCGTTTTAAGTTAACAATATAAATCTCCCACATCTGGTTCGGTTGTCGAGTTATTTGACACCGATGATACTAGACATTTTCTAGCTATTGGTGTGGATATTTCACCGCAAGCCTTAATATTGTATGTTGGCGATCGTGGTATTGAAAATAAAACAGGATTTGTATATATAGTGGTGTTTGAGGAGGAAAAAGACAAAATATGATAAATGTTGTATTGGAAATGATAAAAAACTGGTAAAAAAATTCAATAATGGTGGGGTCCTTACGCACCGCGCACCGACTGGTGCGTTGGGGGCTTGGTGCACACTTCCCCCTTCCATTTGACTTGTCACATCGGTCAGATTAAAAAAATATTATTTGTATTTTAGTCCCTTCTACGCATTGGTTGGTGCATAACGCTAAATACAAGGTTAAATATTGTAAAATGTAAACTTTAGGGTTGTTTTTGTAAATTATGCATTTTAGTTGGTTGTGAAGTGCCCCTTAAATCTACCAAAGTTTGGATGAAAAAGTTACATCACATTTATTAAAATCTAAAAGTGGTTGGAAGTTGCGGATCTCAACCAAAAAAAAAATGTAAATTTACTATGATAGCTATGAATCGTATGTGTTCATACAGTAAGCATAAAATCTTTATAATAGCAGTATAAATATACGTCGATATTATGATCACTACAAGTAATAAAGTGCTATAATATCAAGATCGTTTTCACAGAGACTGGACTATTAAGAATCAGAGAGTTTCATGAACTTCTTAAGCACATTCCTGTTGTGAATAAAGTTCAAGTTTTTGTTGGTTGAAATGCTTGAAAGACAAAATAAACTTATGATTAAAAGATGGGTATGGATGTAAGTTTTTCTTAAGGCAAACGTAGTAACACGATAATCAGATACTTAGTGTCTCACATAATTGTCTATAAAGATCCCGATCTCTTGAAAGTGAACCTCTATAGGTTGTGCCCACAAAGGCTCCACCATTGTTGATTCGTAATCTTGCCGATTTAACTAAGTCTGATATATAAAAATCAAGTTCGATTAGTATAAAAATTTATACCCAAATCTCTTTGTCATATAAAACTCAACTAAAGTTTGAACCTTATGAAATCATACAAAAACCGTATCTCTACGTGATTATCAAATACTTTCTCAAGTCTTTGTGCTTCACTTAAGCACTGTTTCGAACCAGTCCATCTCTGGGACTAATGTCTAATATTAACACTCCAAAGTGATTGACTTATCCATGTTAAGTTTAAGTCCCGACTCAAGTGACCAAACTTAAGAATTAAATGATTTTAATAATAATTTTTGAAAATCTCCAAATACAAGAGATATTCAGATCACTTCAAATCTTCAAAATGTTGTACCCATAGACCAGATAAAATCAAAGCATTTCCTTGTCCAAAAGTAACACCGAACATGTCCACAGTGGTAAATAATACCCGCTGTCCACAGTAACATCCTCTTTAGCACAAAATCAATCGTTGGCAATTTATCACCTCTTAAAAACAATTAGACAAAATAAAGGATATATAAGCAAATTGGGTAAATCAAGTGCTACAAAAGCCTAGAAAAGAGTAATAAATAACTCCAAAAAATGAGAGTTATCATCCTGCTGGTTTTGACTATTAAGGATCATGTGTGATTAATTGATATGGAGGCACAAGGTAGGTGAACGTATGCGGAGATAATGGTTCATACATTCATTTTAAGGAAACGTGAGAACAACATTTTATTATAATCAATCACATGTGATATTACTAGAAGCGTACTCGCGCAATGCAGCGAGATATATCGTGATTTTAATATTTCATTTTATTATTTATCTCAG